AACTCGCCATATTGCACTTCTCCATGTAATGAATATGTTATGGTTATTAGTGCATTTCAATCAAATAAATAAACTGTGATATTGGGTCTCGTGTACTCATCCACAGCACCAAATTCCGACCATCGGCATGTAAATAGAAGTATATAATTAAAATTAAAACAAAGAAATTATACTATACATGCATAAAAACACGCTTGTTCACCACATACTTTGCTGCTAGTGCATTCATGCTTTAGTGGGAATCAAGTATTCTCCATCATGCATTAGATAAAATTACGCGCTTTACATTACGGCTGCACCATATTAAATAAACTAAATTAAATGGTTTCTTCATATCATATCAAGTCCCATGTTATGATTGCCTATGCTAATCAACTTTCTTTGCTGACTACGGTCAAATAAAATAACCAAAATGTCACAAATAGGTAGACTTAGCTAGTTCAAATAAGCTCTGTCATCATAATTTCTAATTAATTGGGATAAAATGTCAATTATGCCCCATGTAGGCCCTCCAAATGCTATGCATCACGGCTAACTTAAATCTAGCTCCTTAGTTAGACTGCACTCATATAAGGTTATGTCTAGCTATAACAGACCAAATCAAATCAAATTAAATAGCATAGTGCATGTGAACCCTTGGTCAAATACCATGTCATGAGCATGTACGCCAACTTTGATAAAACAAATCATCTCCATGCGTCATGCCTAGGTTTGGTGCAACAACATATCTTCTTGAATCTTGATGAGATAATTATCTTGTCTTTGCCCATACAAAATATTACGCCATATGTTGAATACATTATAAATGGCAAACCATGACCTCCATGATTCAACAAGACTATGTCAATTTTAGTCTTCAAGATAAGCCACGTCCATATATGATACAATGCACTATACATCATTCAAGAAATGATTATGCCAAGTGCAAAATATACACATGCATCCATCCGCGACTACAAGATTGAAGACTTTGTTTTCTTTTGTAGTTTGTAATAGGAAGCCATATGATGTAATCTTATTTTTCATGTACTCATGTTGGAACTCTTAATCAGGGGTGTTCTCTTCGGAGATGTAATTAACATAATTTTTATGCAAATATAAGAATTATGGAAGTATGGACTTGCAATACCTGTTCTTTTTCTTTTGTTCCAATTAAATTTAACCAAAATCAAATTTGTCTCTGCTGACGCGGAGGCGGGTCATAGCTACCCGTTTCCCCGCCATCACATTTCACCGGTCATAGGTGTGTAGAGAAGTTGATGACTGGGTTTAGGATAGATGGCCATACTATTAAAAGGGGCAAACTTGTTTGCATATCGGTCATCTAGTGCCACTCGAGTGATCTAACTTTGCATCGTCGCTAGGATTGAGTGGCGTGGCAAGTTGAGTGGCTAATCCTTTGGAAAATGATTGTGAAAATGCTAACACACATACACATGGTGGTGTACACTTGGTGGTGTTGGCACATTTACAAAGGAGATAAAGTTGGAGTTGATATGGATCAACTCGGCGATGGAACGGAGGCGAGAAGGGTTTGAATCTTCACCGGCGGAGTGTCCGCCCATAGAGTGCGGACAGTCCAACGGTGCCACCGACGCCCTGTATAGAAAAGACAGGGTTTCACAGCGTGCACCGGACGCTGGTCACGCAGTGACCGGATGCTAGGATCCTGCGTCCGGTCAGTGGCAGTAGTGAAGGCGTTGGCGTCGGTCTTTGACCGGACGCTGGGTGGTTGCATCCAGTCCTGCTGACGTAGCAGCACATAGAAGAGGAGAAATGACCGACGCTGATGCTGCGTCCGATCGTAACCGACCGGACGCGTCCAGTCACAAATTTTCACGAGTGGAACCTTACTGGAAGTGATCGGACGCTGGGGTCCTGCGTCCAGTCATACACTGTGCTGCGTCCGGTCGCAACTTAACCATTGAGATCGGGCGCTCAGTATTTGAAGCCAGGGATGACGTGGAAGCCATCCGTTGACCGGACGCTGGCAGGGTGCGTCCGGTCGATACGACCGGAGCGTCCGGTCGTCCCGAGTTTTGCCCAGTGAACGGGTAACGGCTAGTTTAGCCCGTGGGGCTATAAATAGAAGGGGGTCTCGGCCATGGCTGGAGTTGAGCATCTCGGGGGACTTTGTGTCCATGCTTGAGAGTGCTTGGGAGCCCTCCATCTCACATATACTTGATAGTGATCATCCGATTGTGTGAGAGAGCGATTCTAGTGCGATTGCGTTATGAGGTTGCATCGAGTGGCATTAGGTGATCGAGTTGCAAGCCGGTGGTGCTTGTTACTCTTGGAGGTTGCCACCTCCTAGACGGCTTGGTGGTGGTCTCCGTCGAAGCCCGCAAGAAGCTTGTGCGGTGCTCCGAAGAAGAGCTTTGTGAGGGGAATTGTGCTCACCCCGCGGGAGCCGCGAAGAGCAACTCTAGTAAAGCGTGTCATTGAGCTACCCTCACTTTTGGGGTAGGTTCTTGCGGTGCCCGACTTTCGGGCTTGGCGGGTGATGCCAATTAGCCGCCGAACCGCCAAGTGACACAACGGGGACTAGCGTGTTGGCAAGCACGTGAACCTCGAGAGAAAAATCATCGTGTCAACCTTGTTCTTCCCGTTGGTTTACATCCTCGTTACACAAACTTGTAATTACTTTCATATACATTGTGCTTGTGTAGTTGCTCTTGTAATTAGTTTGCTTGTATAGTTCACTAGTTACTTTCTTACTTGTGTAGCATAGAAGTAGCTCCCTTGCGTGACTAATTTGGTTTGTGTAACCTTGTTAGTCACTTTGCTTAGTTTGTGTAGCTAAGTATTTGCGCTCTCTAACTTGGCATTGGTTGCCTTGTTATTGAGCATTGCTAGTGAACTTAGTTGGCTTTGTGCTTTTGCTTACTAGCATGTGTAGGAGCTCTCCGTTGGTTAAAGTACTAGTGGCATAGGTTTGTGTGACCTTGCTTCTAGAATTGATTAGGTGAGCTCTAGCTAGCCCGGCACCTTTGTTGTTTAATTATGATCTTTGCAAGGTGCTAGAGAACATAGATAGAGGGGTGTAGTCTTGGCTAGACCGATAGTTTTAATTCCGCACTTGTTTCGGTTAGCCGACGCGATTAAGTTTTAGAAACGACTATTCACCCCCCCTCTAGTCGCCATCTCGACCCTACAGCTATGCAAGCATCTAGAAGAGGAGGAGGGGGCGACGGATGCCCAGCCGGCGTCGGGAGGAGGAGGGACACCGAGGCAAAGGTGAGGCAGCAGATAAACGAAGATAGAGATGCAACACCCAATCTACTTTTGAAACATCGGATGCAACACTTGCAACATACGTCCTAAGGCAGATGAAACACATGAAACATACATCTGAAACACTAGTTGCAACACCAGATCTATCTACTTTTGAAATATCCAGATAAAATACTTGCAACATACGTACGAAATAGCTAAAACACTTGAAACATGTGTATGAAACACTTGCAAAAAATACCTAAAATACTTCATATGTGTGAAAACATATGCAACATCCAGATGAAACACTTGCAAACATATGTTTGAAAAACGAGATGAAACATTTGTAACATACTTAAAACATATGTGTATAATCACTGCAATATGTGCAACATTTCGATCTACTTTTGTAATATCAAGATGAAACACTTGCAACATCCAGATGAAACATCTTTGAAACAAACTCTTGCAACATGGGCTTTGCTTGGACGAATGGAGGCACACCGGTGCGGAGGTCGACGGCGGCGCATGGACCTCACTGTGGAAATGACACGGGGAACTCACTGGCGGGCACGACGTCACACGAATCTCGTCCACCTCGCCTGCTTGCTGGAGCATCCGTCATGGAGGCTCACTGGCTCGGTGGAGGCGGCTGTGGCGAGCGGGCCAGCTGCGGCGAGGAGGCAGCATGGTGGAGGCAGGCGAGGCAGACTAGGCCCGACAGGGAATGCGGTGTGGAGGAGGTAGCACATGGGGGCAGTGCGGAAGAGGCCGCAGGGGATGGGGCGCGATGCTGCGGGGGGGACCGACAACGGCGAGGCAGAGTGGGGTGGGCGGATGGGCACTGCGACACACGGCGCGGCGGGGGCACGGCGGCGCGTGAGGCGGAGTGGGGTGGGTGGACGGGCACGGCGACACAGGGAGGAAATGACGCAGCGAGCACCGGGGCACGCGGACGGGGCAAGCGGATAGGGTCGCTGCGAGCAGCGCGTGCGGAAGTGAGCGGTGGGAGGTGCCTTTCCATCCGGACGTCTTACTCATTATCGTTGATGATTTGATATCGGCCAACAAAAGATTGTCCGAGGTGGCTCACTATGAGAGCCCAAACTTCAGCACGGAACCACAAATGTTTAATTAGTTTGTTCACTGTAACTTTTTTGCAGCCTAAAATAGCAGTGGTACAGTGCTAGCAGAGACAAACTACAGCTGGTGATGCTGCAAATAAGCCGCAATACTGGTAGCCGAACAAGCTGATTCATAGAAAATATGGGCCCTTTCGCTTGGAGGAATCTGAAGAAATCTGAAGAAATTTGTAAGAGAAAAACACTATTTCGATAAAAAAAGAAGCGGATCAAGCCGAGTTTAAGAACACGCGAACGGGGCTATATTGACACCAACTCCTTTCGTCCCCAAAAGACTCAAGTCGAGTACAGGATTAAATAAATACACTATAAAAATACATTCCATAGTAAATCTAATAAATCTTGTTTCGCGTTATAGATATTTATGTATTTTTCTATAAATTTGGTTAAAGCTAAAGAAAAATGACTTAGTAGTTTGGTACCCACGCATGAGCATAAAACACAGGCTATGCCAACTCACGAATTGTAAACAGCGACAAGAAACGATTCCCACTTAATAGAAAGTGAAACTTGAACAAGAATATGAAAGTGTCAGTCAAACATTTGGGTAAATCACACAGGACATGTTAGCTTAAAAGAACTAAGATTTTTACAGATAGGAGCACCATTGTGAGTTGGCGACACATCCTTCAGATGTCTTCTCTAGGCTATATACGCCTTCAAAGAGGCTGGCAAATTTCCAACTACTCTTTCTATTAGCCACTCGACTTTGACAGAAGCAATTGCCACCAAACTGTCAATTTCTTCCTCGCATTGTTCATATACAATGAAGACAATGAACAAGGATGCCAGTACTGCATACAGGAGAGAAGAAGCAGATGATCAATTTATTTTACAACACTAAATGATCAGTTGATCATAATTTTAAGTGGCAAAAGAAAGTCCCTTACCAAGACCCATCAGAATTCTGAACTGAAAGCTCAGCATTAGTTTGATGCTGTACAGAAATGCAAATACCTGTAAAATAGTGAAGAAACTATGGATCAATCATTTGCAACTTGATTCTTATATGGTCATGACTTCATTTTAGCTACATTTTCCCTGTCATGTCAATATTTATTATTGATTTGAAGTGAATTTCAACTTTAAGCCTATCTTTTGGTTGAGGAAACTTGAGTAGTCATTTTTGCATCATTTTAAACACTGTAATCGAGCAGCATTATCTTAACATGGTAAGTTATTTCACGACTGAGATGGAATGATTGATCCCTTATGACAATCACTAAACCGAGAGTAACCTACAAACATCAACACAACATGACAAAAAAAAATTGATGTATTGATGTATTTAAGATACAGAAAGACTGTAACCTCATATAAATTATTTCTAGTTCATGATCAACTAAAGCCAAAAGGCCCAAAAGTATACCAAGCTAACCAAAGACTTCAATCACTTAACATGAGTGCAGAAACATTTTGAATAGTAAAAGTGTGTGTATATTAAATTTTATGAAAACAACTATACCTAATACTATAACTTCAGGGGGGAAAATGGTTCATGAATATGCTAGAGATAGAGAAATCACTGAAGTAGATTAAATCCAAACGGCATATGTGGGCTCAAGGAGCCCAAATTTAGTAGACAGCACCTAATGGAAAACGACCTCATATTGGGTATTTTTAATGAACAAAGCCTCCAGAAGACACAAAGCTGAACACCAACCTTCAAAAGTAAACTCCAGTCTTCACCTTCTGCTAGAACCCTTAGTTTATGAATGCTCCCATTCCATGCAGAAGCCAGACACATAAGCGAATTCCTCAATGCTAAGCGGGATACTTCAAAATGCTCAGATGTAACCTTCTCAACTGTAAAACCAAACCTGCAAATGGGGTTCAACTTCAGTATTGAAACATAGTACAATACAAAATTATTTTGCAAGAACTGGGGAATATTAATTTCAGATTATTGTACTCAAAAGATAGCTGAACAACCAAAACACGCACACTTCTGAAGGCAGCAAACCATGGATAAAGAGACCAAGGGAGAGCACTAGAAGAAATTTGGCAGCCGATGAAACAAAAGTTCTGTCTGAAAGCAGGAACCAGTAGAAAACCAGAAACAATACTGTGACAAATGAAAAGGTTCTCTTTTCATCCCTCCAAAGAAGAATATCAGCAGCTGCAGTGCAAATGGAAGATGTCAACAGTGAAAACAAATATTTATCATAACTGAGTGATAGTAAGTAAACAACAATGAAAAGTGTTCTACACAACTATATCAGAAAAGTTTGGTATCCAAGGCTCTTGTTCATTCAATTTGGTGGAAAGCAGAAAACACAAGAGAGAGATTTTCTTAAAAAAGGATTATATCACCTGTTCCACTTCCTAGCAGCTTATCTGCCTTTGATGATCCGCAGGGGCCTTGTTTTCTTGACAACCCCAAATTACCTGATAGTTCTGTAAATGAACCAACAGTTCTCATAATTCCATCCTGATACACGTTAAACATTAAAATTTATTAGTTATCAACATCTGCATTGCAAGAAAAAGAAAGCCCTTGAAGGGGCCTCATGTGCCTTTACCAGGAACATATCAGAACATGGGCAGTACCAAACAAATGATCCAAGGGAACATATGTGATTGCAATATAGCAAGGTAACAAAACAAGCTCACCTCCAATGATACAATCGGGTGGTATCCAAGTAATCTTTTGGCTCTTGAAGTGTTAAAGGTTCTAGTGCATGACAAGAAGTATATTGTATCTGGATGGAGAAGAGGGGTGGAAAGCATTTGAAAACCAAGCCTGTGATGAATCATTTTGGAAAGCAAGGCTGCAGACGTTAACATCTTGGCAGGAAGATTAATCCTGGGCCTAAATGGATGAGAAACCACAGCACATGTTAACCTCACAAGTTGCCTTCAAAGAGTAGGGAGGGGCAAAGAGGGAGGGAGAAATACCTCTGACAACACATGGCTTCCATCATGCAATTCATAAACTCCCATGTTTCCATAGGTTCATCATTGGTAACAAAAAATGTCTGTAAAAGTTCAGTGTGCAGAATTAACCATAAAAGTAATATGGCTAAACATAGCCCTTTTATCTCAAAAAATGTACCTTCCCAGCTACAGAAGCTGCATTCGAAGACAAGGCTTGCTCAGCACAAATATTGGCATGGGCCACATTTTCCACGTAGGTAAAATCAGACATGTTACTGCCACTGCCTATTACAAACTGAAAAGAACTACATAAGAAAACTAGAATTTCATAGTTTGAAGAAGCATGGGGAAAAATTCCAGGTCATGTTTTATAATAGCAAAATCACAGGAACAAAGTCAATTTCATATTTGGAATACCTTGCCCAAGGGAGACCTTGCATATCCAGCAACAAACCTCACCAAGCTGGAATCCCCCGGACCGAAGAGATTGCTCGGTCGCAGCACGCACGTCCTCATCCCGTCCACCCCGTCCACACCCAGTACCATCACCTCCACCTGCGCCCTCAGCTCGCTCACCGCATTCCCGAACTGCACCGACAGCAAAACCGAAGCGTCCAGTCAGCCCAATGGCACCTCCAAACCCAAGGATCCCAAAGCCGAGCAGATCACGGAGTAACCAAACCTTGTCAGGGTAGGGCGCGGAGTCCTCGTCAGCATTGATCATATCGCGGGCAACGGCAGCGACCACGTCGGCCGAGCCGGTGTACACCACCCTCTCCACGCCGGCGGCGCGGCAGGCCGCGAGGAGCCGCCTCGTGCCCGCGACGGCGAGGCGGTGCAGGGAGAGGAAGGACCCGTCGCTCCCGGAGGCGGTCGCTGTGGTGGCGTCCACATGGAAGACAGCCGCGGCGCCGGCGAGCGCGGAGACGAGGCGCTCGGGGTCCGCCGAGAGGTCGACGTCGTGGTGGTAGACGAGGTGGGAGGCAGGCGGGCAGGGCGGCGGGGACGGCGAGGTGGGGGAGGAGGGGTCGAGAATGGCGACGGCGGACCAGCGGCCGGAGGCAGCGAGCGCCGCGGCCAGGTAGCGGCCGAGGAGGGTGGAGCGGCCGAACGTGACGGCGCAGGCCGGCTTGGGCGGGGGCGGGCCGGGCTCGGCGGTCGCCATCGGTGGTGGGGTGGGAGTGGGACGGAGGCGGAGGTGGGGGACAAGAAGAAATAGGGAGAGCACGAGGGGTTTTCGTTTGTTTCACAATCTTGGCTGCTTTTGTTTTACCTTTTTTTTCTCCAAAAGAATCAAAACCAGGTAAGCACTTCACATGCTGGAACATTGAGCTCACCGCTCGACATTTGTGTAAAAAGTTCGATCTTACTTTTGCGTGTAAATAGTTTCGATCTTTGGCCCTAAGAGATTGGAGCTTGATGATAATATGAATTTTTTGAATCACAAGATAGTACGAGTTTTCACGAGCTTAGGATGCAGGTTTAGGATCGAATCTCTATTCCATGAGCTTTGAAATGATTCCATACGTACACATCAGTTTAAATTACATGACTAGAATAAACTATGACATGCATTGATGCATATGCATTCGAGCTTAATCGTGTCGAACTCGAGCAGCTCATGGAATCCCAAGCTTTCCTTTGACAACCCAAAGAACAGCTCGTTGATTAAACTTTCCACCTGTTCGGGGTATCAACATGTCAATAGCTCGCTGATTTAACTTTCGGCCTGTTCCGGGGATCAACATGTCAACTGGACAATTTGGTTAGCGGTAAACTTCCATAGTACCAAGAGCTCAAAGTTCAGAGTGACAGAATCATCCAGGGCGTTCAGATTACCGGCGAAGCTTCGGAAGAATCATGGCACATCATGCTAATGCTTATACTCTTTCGGTCGGTGACGCATCACATCGACCATGATTGAGGATTGAACGGCAATCTTCCAAAATGTGACGTAAAATCCAAGCCTGGCATTCATGCCATCAAATCAAGCAAAGCACCTTTCATATCAGTACCCTACAAGTACATTTCCAAGCATTGCACTGTTGATACCATATTCATGCGGCTAACAAACATGGATCCATGCAAATTGCAATGCAATGCATTCAAGTAATATCCATTGTCACAGTGCAAACCGCCAAGTTAAAGCATTGAATAAGAATTGAAGATTGACTATGAAACGGCTAAGTGGCGTTTTTTTTACAGAGTAGATGATAGCAGAACACGCTTATTTGTAGTAGTCAAAAGAATCACTGATTGCTATAGACAAACACTGCCAAAGCTACATACACTCGACATAATTTTGCCGAAGCATTTCAAAATCTAGCTCAAACATATATACCTTCCTTTCCTCCTATGTTTCTTGTGACTTAGAGGTTCTCTGTCTGAACAAGATATAGGTCATATGTCACCAGAATTTCCTTTTGTTAGTCAGAAGTTATCTTTTGCTCGACGGACAACTTCAAGCACCTGATCTTCATCGAAATGATCTGGAATAGACAGTGTTCTCTTAATTTCTGGATTGGTGGTCCGCAAGAAAGGATTGCATTCCTTCTCCCTTCCAATTGTTGTTGGCACCTGCAACCATGAAATTTGGATTAAGGATTTAAGGTCAGAGTAAAGGTGGAAACGTTCTCAAGTTAAGTATTGCAGAGAGATCATGAAATAAATTATCATTTTTATGAAATGTTCAAAAGAAAGAACGGAATCAAGGACTTTTAAAGTAAACAAAGCTAGAAATGCATAATTTCATGCTTAAGAAGAACTAGCTTGTCACAAAAATATTACCGTGGGTATATTCTTATTACGCAACTCAGCTGCATTTGCAGCATATTCCTGCAATGCTTTATTTCCTGGTTCTACACTCAAGGCAAACTTTGAATTACTCTGCACAGAGGAACATCAGGCATTAAATAACAGATCGATGCAGGAAACTGGAAACGAAATGAAAAATTACTCACCAAGGTATATTCATGCCCACAGTATACTTTTGTATCATCAGGTAGAGCTGTAATTTTCTGGAGTGAGGAATACATCTGCAATGAGGCAGGCTGAAATGGTCATGTAATCTCAAAGATACATAGAACAATAGTTTCCATACCTTCTACGAAAAAGGAGAAGTCACTGAGCCATAGATGATAAATAGAACTAGTAAGAGTTCACAACCTTCTAGATTTCTATTAAATGATTAAAGTCCATCATATGAATAATTAGATTTAATCACAATTATCCCCATGTTCAAACATATGAAAGTACAAATACTGACATAATGTAGAACAAACTCAGTCATTCAAGTTCATACACCATTTTTAACCTTTTATATACCTATCTTGCTTACTCATGCTTACACGTTCTAATAGTTGCAGTGGAGAAATAATTTAAGTTCGATTAACAAATTCAGAAACTCCAACAAAAATGTTTGTTGTTCAAAATTAAGAGACTTCTTTGGTGAAATAAAAGCACTACGAAGGAGTAGCTTGTCACGGAAGTCCAGTAGCACCTTCACACAACATACATGTATATGAACATATTTGCAAGCAAGTAAAAAAAACCTGCTGTGGAGTCCCTTCAAAAAGCTTTCCGCATGATAGATTGAACAAGGTGTCACCTGTAAATATAGCTCCAGAACCAGCAAAATAATAGCACACATGACCTGATAGAAATAAATGTAAAGTCAACGAAAAGCCTTTGTGTGCACTGAAGGAGTTAATCATTCAACTTTGAATGCAAGAACGAAGATAAGACGAGTCATAAGATTCAATCAAACACCTGATGTATGCCCAGGAGTCTCCAGTACAAGAACTTGATGGCCAGCAAACATCCATGTGTCACCCTCCTTAAGAGTGATGTCAATACCAGGTATTCTGTCCTTATCCTTCTCAGAACCAATTACCTAAAATGTATATGATCATCAGAAGACTAAATCAGACACACCAATCTCCATCTATATACAATTATCATTAAGTGTTTCAGGTGGCAGGAGCAATCCAGTATATAAACAATAAAAACTAAAGGAAACAGATTTGCATCAAACAGTTCCTTCATATCACCTAGAAAATCATCAAAACTTAGATTTGATACTGTAGGCAGAAGTCATGCCCAAACTTGAGGCATAGCCATTAGTATATGCTCTGTTTTGAACTTCAGTTATATAATTCAATCTCGAAAACCATAAATATTGTTGAATTTAACAGATACTTTATTGATAAGAATAATATATGCTATAAAAAGCACTCATAATAAGTCCATCCTTGGGTATAGCCCTATTGGTTTCACTTAGCTCATAATTTTGATTGTGTCACTGTCACATACTGTATCAGAGTCACTGAACGATACAGGAAAAGAAAGAACAAAGAAAAAAGCCGAAAGCTATACCTTTGCACCATATTTTGCCTTCAATTCCAAGTTTCCACCAGTATGATCATAGTGATGATGGGTGTTCAGTATATAAGTCAAGTTCTGGTTTCTCTTTTCCAATGCATTTATAATAGGCATAGCCTCAGAAGGATCGACAACTCCAACTGTTCCAGTATCAACATCATGCAGGATATATGCATAGTTATCTCGAAGGCATGGTACCTGCATATAAACCAGGACAGTTGCTGATGAATATTAAGGACACTCAGTAATGTGATTGAATGATGAGAAATATCTACAGATAGGAGGATAGTTATGTAAAGAGCAACAAGTTTGTGGTAACAACTGATTATAAGAAGTCATTCAAAAGATGTCCTATTTATTGTTTCGGCTATTCATAACAATGTCTGCTATTTCTTTATGATATCCACTATGATGATCCAGGCCAGGAGCCATGCTGTTCCATCAAAAGAAGTGTAGTCATTTGTGTGGAGGAAACTGTGAAAAATTAATGTGCAAATTATGTGGGCCGCCGGCCGCCAATGTATGCTTGAGCTTGACAGTGTCAGTCTTAGAGTCTAAGGGGTCTGGTCCACAACATCGTAGTTAGGTATACAACAGAGGAAACAACATAATGCCAAGCATGAGTAAAGCAGTAAGTGAGAGTGGGTCAAGAATGAGACTTCTTTTCATGGACACTAGCTCTTTCCTACTAAAAATGGCCTTATGAGTTATGACCTTGTATTTTCTTTCTACAAAGCAATGGCATCGAATTGTAAGAAACTCATCACAACTGATTTAAATTAAAAAAAATCCACAGAACTAACTGTTTTCACTGCTGGCTTCTCTCCTAAAGAGCACCACCATGTCAATACAGAAACGAGGCGCTTACATCGATAAGCATCAAGCAAATATCAGTATGCATCGAGTCTTAAGTACTCAATAGCTATCTAGAAGTCACAAAGGTATTTCAGACCGCTTACAAGCTCAATTTGCAGCGACGAAGAGACGCTGGTCATGTTGCAGAGGAACCGCCCTGCGCCAAAAACACGACCCACTCCATACAGTGTCCTCAGTGGCATGACCAAGAGAGTGCTGATTCCATACAGCAGTGGCTTCCCGGGCCATTGCTTCCGCACACTTGGCAGCAAGGACGGCTGCCCCCTCATCTGCGAAACAACAGAAGCAGACCAAAATAAATTTGTTACAACCAAGAATTCACAGAGAACTACTCACGCAACGGTGCTGTAACCACCAAACCCATCTCCATGCCGCGCAAATCAACACAAAAACTAACTAACTAGCTCGAGTAGAGGGAACAACTACAGGACCGATAAACAGCTGGGCATCTCCGCAATAGCGCGGGAAGGCAGGGGCTGTCGTGCGAAACGACCCGCTCCGTTGGAACCGAGGCAGTTGCAGGCCACGGGGATGCGCCGTAATGGAAATCCCCAATCCCAGATCCAAACCCCCCGCCTAGAACCACGAAAAGGGAAGAGTTGATGTGCAAGGGAGAGAGAGAGAGGGGCGACCGTGGGGGCGGCGGCGGAGGAGCAGCGCGGGAGGGAGGAGGCCACGATCGAGCACGCCTTCGACAGCATCCTCATCCCCGCTCCCTTCCTTTCGTTGCTCGCAGCCACAGCGCTGCCGCCTTCCGAGGAGACTTGACGATGCGCTGCGTGGCGTGGGGAGCGAGGAGAGAGAGAGAGAGAGAAGGGGAGGGGACGGCACGGCGAGTAGAGTAGTGGGAAAGGAAGGAGGCAGAAGAGGTCGGGCGGCTCGCGGCTGTTGATGGCGCTGGCTCGCCCGTGCCGGACCCACACGGACACACGGGGCCCTCGAGGGCGTATCCCAGATCGGGGGCAGTCCGTCGGGCGATCGACGGCGCAGATTGCCGCAAAGCGTGGTGCGTGGCTTGGGACCGACGTCATGCGCTCGTGATCGTTCCGGCCGGAGCCTTGAGATGGCAGTGGGTAAATCCCCGTCGGGTATGGCCACTCCAGACCTATCCCCGCTATAAAAATTTGGTACCGCCAGAATACCCATACCCACCATGGGTGGAGAATTTTCCGCAGACCCATACCCGGCCGGGTAAATCATACCCGACGGGTCACCCGTACCCGCCAATAATTTATTCATGCACAAGAAAATCAATAATTCAACAACAACCACCACTAACTAGAGCACATAAAATTAGACAAATAATAGCATATCACCGTTCTTGCTCGAGTTGCTCCATCGCCGGCATGGCGTGGCGAGTTCCTGAAGCTTCGATGCGATGCGAATACGCGAGACGAGGTCACGAGGGGCGGACGGGCAGCGTAGTTTTTTTCGGCGGCGGCGGCGTTTTTTTGGCGAGTGGTGATTGCGGTGCCAGGCTGCCAGCGCCGAGATGAGACGAGGTAACGACGCGCTTTACCCACGTGCCTATTTTTTCGGCAGCGGGAGGCTAGGCGTCGAGCCTCCCTCGAGCGGTCGAGGGCTCCAGCGGCCAAGTCACCAGGCGGGACCGGTGGGTGAACCTAGGGTTTTACATGGGCTGATGGGCTTATTTAGTTTTGGGCCGGGTATTTTTCACCCATGGGTAAACGGGTACGGGGATTGCTGGAACATACCCATACCCGCGTACCCGATGGGTGAAGGGTTTGGTCCATTTACGTGCCCGTGGGTAGTGTGTTTAGTCCATATTTAAACCCTAATGGAGTAAATACCCGTCGGGTATCAGGTCGCGGGTCCCCCATTGCCATCTTTACCGGAGCCGCGTGTTCCCATTTCTCAAAGGTTGTGCGGTGTGCACGGCCGTCCCGGCGCGTACAACGCTTTAAACGCCGCCTGGCGCTTGCAACGCATTTCCACACGAATTTGTGCCGATTCTCTTGGATTTCTAACCTCATACCGCACACACAAATCTGTTGGCGCTCGTTCGTAAAAGAAACGGCTCTCTGACGGTCTCACCGTGACACCCCATCAAGATAAGCCGCAATACCACTTTATAAAGAATAAAAACATTAAATTAGAATGAATTTAGAACAATACGAAAACTAGTGTCAAATCAAGAAAAAAAAACTAGATAGTTTCTATATTTATTAATTAGGTGACAACTAAGCAAGATGATAATGCGGCATTGGAATTAAAGAAGAGCAGTGGCTTTTAGACCAGTTTTTAGTAATAGTTTCATCTACATTCATTTAATAGGTTGTCGTGTAAGCATTTTTATGGCATGAGAGAGTTTTTAGGTAAAGAAAGAAGAAGTGAGTTCAATGGGGGATGAAACTCTCTTAGCTCGATTTCCAACTCTAAATGAGTTACAAATTTTAATATCCATGAAATAAAAGAACATAACTATGCATCAAGAGTGATTGTTTCATCCATGTGTTCACCGCATTCTATGTTTTTGAAAACAACACTATGTAACTTTGGCTGTGTTTAGTTCCCAAAAAGTTCTACAGTAGCCATCACATCGAATCTTGCGATACGTGCATGGAGCATTAAATGTAGACGAAAAAAAAACTAATTGCACAGTTTAGTTGGAAATCGCGAGACAAACGTTTTGAGCCTAATTAGTCCATAATTGAACACTAATTGTCAAATAAAAACGAAAGTGCTACAGTAGCCAAATTCCTAAATTTCGTGAACTAAACACAACCTTTCTATGAGATAAGAAACCATGCCTGCACAGGAACCAAAATATAGAAAGATGTCATAGTTGATAAAGAGAGAAGACATGTAATTAAACAAAAATATATTTTAAAGAAACTATCTATTAGAATTTTCTGTATATAGTGTCTACTTGGCTTGGTAAATATAAAAGCCAACTCATGGTTTCCGCGATGGGACTGGCCTCGTTGAATATTTCTTGTCCTCAATTATTAACGGGACGCAAAGTTTATTAAAAACATATCCCGAGCAAGTGGTTGACACTTTGACTGATGACTACACAGAACAGCACGCGTGATAGCACAAACAGGTTTTCATCGGTTACTCCGAAGTCAAAGAGGCATATTACGTTTCTGAAAATCTGTTTGAACAGCACGTGATAGCACAAACAGTCCATATTCTTTGTTCAAAGAATCACTTTCCAATCTCTTAAAATCAAAAAAACCATCCAATGGAGCAATACTCCATAATTCAGAGTCACCCAGTCGACGTCAGTGATAAATACGTACAAGTCAATTTTTCACCACCTTTCTTTTTTCTGTGACCGCGATAAGAAACTAAGAGAAGCTGAAAGGCTCAAAGCCCAACAAAGAAACAGCAGAAACGAAGCCTACATTAGCTAACCCATCCCATTTTTGGCCCAATCAAATTCCACACTACTAACGGCCCAATTAGGACCTCCCATCCACACGCGTTACACCTTTTTCCCGTTCATCGGCGCGGCCGCCGCGCCGCCGCCTCCACCGCCGAGCATTGCGGCGGCGGAGTCGACATTGGTGAGTAGATACTCGTAGATCTTCTTTCTTAGGCGCCCTATTGTCTCCTCGGGTACACCGCAGCCGCCGTTCGCGGGGACAGGGGCAGCGGTGCTCGTGGTGGTCGCCTCACCGTCCGCGTCGGCCGGCGGCAGCGACGGAGTCTCGCTTCGCTTCCCGATCTCGCCGAGCCAGTCGTTGACGCGCTTTAGCTGCGGAAGCATCCTGGCCGCGCGCTCGCGGTCCCACGGCGCGGACGCCGCCACGTCGGCGTCCAGGAACCGTTCCACGAAGCCGAGGAACCAGCCCCTTGACTCCTCTCCGAGCCGCTTCGCCAGCTCGCCCCTCTCCTCGGCGCCCCCTCCCCTCTCCCACTCCGGCGGCGCGGGCGTCGTCGTCAGCGCCGCTGCGGCCGCCGCAGTGACAGTCCTCGCCTTCCCCTTCGCGGGGGACAGCCGCGACTTCGGCGACGGCGATGATTTCGTAGCCGTGGCCGCGGCCGCCGCCGGCTTCGCGGACTCGTCGACGACCACCACGGCCAGTGGTGAGGAGACGGTGGCGGGGGCCGGTTTGAGGTTGTAGATGCCGAAGGCGGACAGGTCCGTAGCGAGAGCGGCGCTCACCCAGGACGTAGCACGGCGCCGGCGCTCGGCTGCGATGGCAGCGGCCTCCTCGTCGGTAGCGGAGCCCACCGTTCCAGCATCGCTGGCTGCCGAGCAATCTGGCGACGCTGCAGATGTGGCAGACTTGGTGAGGGTGTCGGTGATCACCGTGGCACGCGAAAGCGCGGCGTGGAGGGTGAGGAACTGCTCTACGGCTGGCTGTGGGTTCTGCTCCTCCGCCGTGGAGCTCACCTCCGCGTACGAGCTGCTCAGGCAGATACGGTCAGTAAGTAAGAATCAACACTGGTAGCAAAACAACATATTAAAAAAAACTAAAAATGCATCGTTCTGCAGCTCTTGCCGTGAACTCTCCAACACACACAAAAAATGCCGTAACAGACTCAAGACACCAACTTTTCAACACCACCAATTTGAAATCCAGACAGTTAATTTGACATTAGCAATCATTGGATTAACTGGAGAATATACTGGAGCTAGCGATGTAAATAAACAGGTACTTTCAGTAGAAGACAACAGCATGCAGCTACAAGTACAGCAGGAGAAACTTCCTGTTTGTCTAGCACAGCATCTGTAAGGATCATTATACAGTACAATAGCATGGTTCGGAGACAGTTCAGAAACTGTTGTGATCCATGTCCTGGACCATCTGGATGCCAACAAGCAAAACTAACACATAGTACAAGCCAAGGCATCAACTGTATGCAAACCTGTATATTCACAATACAAGATTTCTTTTTCCTGTTCTCTGGTGGATGCCAACAAGCAAAACTAACACATAGTACAAGCCAAGGCATCAACTGTATGCAAACCTGTATATTCACAATACAAGATTTATTTTTCCTGTTCTCTGGGTTGTACCTTCTGCAAGCTTGTACTTTCTAGCAATCTAGCATGTCCAAATGAGCAATGCACAGATGTTTACAGATAGTAGTAACTCAGAATGCCAATTATTTTGTTTTGAACTTCAGATCTTTTGTTAAGTCTAGGTTAACCTATGCGAGCTAATCTTGATGTGTAAAAACATTTTTTATTTGGAATAACAAAAACATTTTTTATTTGAAAAAAACATGTGTAAAAACATTCATAGTAACGCCTGCCCTCAGATCAGAAAAAAGATGGATAGCAGGGACCACTCCAGCATGGGTCTCGAGCTCCAAAAGGGAGGAACCGAGCTGGTTGATAACATTATTGCAACATGCTAGACAGCTCGAACTGAGACATTTGGACCATGAGATGAGACCTACGGGTTATTCATGATCTTGCCCCAGAGAGGTGCAATCAGAAACCAACCATGTGACAATGAACAGCAGGCTTTGCTAAAAGCACAGCTGATACCACCTGTCCTGGTTCCTGATCACCATGTCCTGTATCTAGCATGTTCGTCAGCACGGGAACAGGCAATCAAGGCTGTCTACGGCCAGATGCATGTGATATTTGAAGGCTTCATAAGGTTTGTCCTTGGAGCATAGTTGACTCATTTCTATTAAAATTAAAGGATTTCAAGAATAATGGAACAGCAGAAGAGCACTGTTGGAGAGCACAGAAGTGTAAGTTCGGCATGGAAATTAGGCAGAAGATTAATTTATGAGGATTTTTTTCCTTCTAATTTGAATTAACTGGAAGCAGAGTACGCTGATACCAGTAGGTGCCACATCTTCTGCACAATTGGATAGAGGCTAGCAGAATATGGCAGGTTTCCAAATCAAACCACAAGATTCTCTTCTACTATATTTTAATAGACAGACCATCAAGCATGTGATGCCATCTAAGTGTCAAACATACGTTTATAGTTATCTATAAGCTAGGGATGCTTTGCCTGATTTAAGTACAGAATAAAGTTGCAGTTTGAAAAGAATACAAGCATTAGGAGCTACAAGATAGGTATTAAAAGAATGGATTGAATAGGGAAACAACTCGGTCGGAGTCATAGGGAATATATCAAACGGTATGTCTTATGTCGTAGTCTACCAAATAAGAAAATGTGCCTAGAACTAGTTAGAAAACATACAAAACTTGTCATAATCATAGGGCCTGTATCTAGAAGAAAAGAAGTACCTCAAACATCTGAGCAAGCTCTCTGCAGCGGAAGCTTCTTGCATGGCCTCAACAGCAGCTATTTGTGCTGATTCCCTGTACTTCAGAAGCTCCTGTCACATAGACAACAGGGTATGCCAATTTAAAATTTGAATTACTCAGCAATGCTTGATCTTTCAGACTATTGTGGAAGCAAGAGTTTAAAATCATATCAGTTGTGTCAATGAATTTTAGCCATACCTTTCCTAGTTTGGCAAGTGATGGAGGGAGTGACGTCCACGTGCTAATATCTGTTAGTTTTTTGCTGTTGGGAGGAATCTTCACTAGGTTTGTAACATTAGAATTTCCTAAAACCCCAGAAGTTCTCTTCACAGTAGGAATATGCTTCTTAACTGCTTTGTCGGCGTCATCTGAGGGAGCACTTGCGGTGCTCTTCCTAGCAGCTTTCTGACTATCATCTTTATGTGGCACCTTCTCATCCACTGGTGATTTTCGTCTAGGAGTCTGCATATTAAGAATGTACATATTATCCTTTTAACTTTGAGTAAAAATAAATGGTTGGTGCAAATGGGAAGAACACCATCACATTTCCTTGCTAGTTGCCACACATGATGTCATTTACGAGACGGTAATAAACAGATATTATGAGATAACAGTCTCTATTATCCATTATCACTGGGAATTCTAAACGTTGAACCAGCCTGAAGAAAGTGGCTGAACCCAGTGGTCACTAGTCACAAACTAAATGCATTATTTATACACTGATAAAGAGAGTCAGCATACTACATACCATTGGGATCTTGTTATCAAACTTCCTGTCAGGTTTGGCTGTCTTTGATTCTGAATTGCCTTTTCCTTTAATATCCGTGTTTCCTTCCCAGCTTCTTCTCAAGGCCTTTGGTCCTGATCCAATGCTCAACACAGAGCTACTGACCGAATTGCCAGCAGAGGACTTTCTCCCGGCACTAGTAGCCTTCAAAACAGAAGCAGCCTTTTCTAACAAGGAAAGCCTAGAAGATGAAGCTTTCTCTGCTCCTTTTACTTTGTTCCTCTGTTTCAGATCATTAGAGAATCTGTCGAATGATGCAGGCAGAGAATAGACACTGGTTGGTGATGAAGGTGTCGACCTAGTAATAGCTGGCTTCAGCTTTGATTTAACTGCTTCCTTCTTATCACCAATCCCATTCAAAGCTTGTCTTGACAGTGAAGAGTTTGATTTGGTGAGCATCGGCTTCTTATTTTCTGCCCCAGTAGGCTTGCGCGAAGCATTTATTTTCTCCAATTTGCTCGTTTCCTTTTCTAGTGACAAGATGCTGGCATCCTTCATTCCATTTGATGGTTGTGCCTTCTTGCTGCCATGAAAATTGGAGGAGCTGGTTACCACAAGATCCTCAGGGGTGCCAACACAAGCATGGCGGCCAGGAACTCGGCGGACTCCTCTAAGGATGGGAACAGGAGTGGCTGCCTCTAGACGGTCCACATGGATGAACTGGCCCAGCTGAATCTTGTCACTCAAGATGAGATCATGCTGTTCCTCTGGAAGGGAAACATAGGTCGCATGGGATGAATCCGACACCTTGAGGTAGAACCCTTGGTTGGTGAACAGATCGCTCCCCGCGAGCGCTGGGACAATGCTGACAACCTGAAGGAGCGAGGACCGATGCTCGCCGGCGACTTTTACATCCGTGTTCATATGCTGAAGGAGCTTCACGAGGACACCCGGCACCAATGAAGCCATTGTCGTGAATCCTTAAGCGCATTACTCTGCATTGTCCAACCAACAATGCGATTACCATCATCATCGTCGTCATATAAAAGCATGGGACAAATTGGAACCAAAAAGTAAAAATCTGGCAGGCAACCTGGCAGTTCCTAACGAAAGTGAGACCAACACCCCTGAATGCAATAAAGGTTGCAACTTTTTCGTGAATGTAATGGGCAGAAACCTGGCTCACAAGTCACCGCGGATCGCATTTACTCATACCATACCAAGAATCGCCGCACGGTGATTCGAGTACGGAATGGAACCTTAAGAATCGCACAGAGACGAGAGATAATTTCAGAAAGGACACAAATGAAGAAAATCGAGCAAACCCATTGAAGAGTACTAGCACTAAATCGACAGAAACCACAGAACCCTCCTGAATGGCGTTATGCAAGAAATGCCGCTCGAAATACTCCTGTGGGCATGGAGGGAGTACGCCTGGGGAATATATGTCTTTGCTTGTGAGGAAATGAATTGAACTCGGTCCAAACCGAAACATGCTCAACAGACACCACAAGAGGTAGTACTCCACATACTAGTAGCAGAAGTCATCAAGGCATCAATGCCGGCGGCGGTGGTCCTGTGATACTGTCGTCCCCCGAACCCAACTTTCCCCCTCGACAAAGAAAAATCTTGAAAAGAGAGGAAGAACAGCACCAACCAAATCTTGCGCACAAAAAGTAGCACAACTGGTTGCCCTATCAATTCGCGCAACCTGAAACAACCGCTGAATTCGACGCGAAGCAATTAGCGGAGGATATAACAGCAAGGAGCAGACACTTCGCAATCAACCGTCCGCCTCAGCCTCGCACCGACTGACCGACCCCAAGGTTGTCCTGAACAAATGTTCCTCCTGGTCGGAGGAAGCGGCAAGCAATGGCATGTATTTGGGGGGAAAGAGTCGCTTGCTTGCAAACGCGACGGCAAAACCGCAAAAGCAAAGCGCTCGAAGAGGAAAGGAAAGGCGAAAAATCTTGGAACAGGGGAGTAGTAGGAGGAGGAGGATGAATCGGGGGAACACGAACCTCTCGGCGGAAATCCGGGCGCCTAGTGGTTTCTTCTCCTCCGCTCTCCTCCTCCGGCTTTGCTGTGGGCGCACGGAGGGGAGGAAAGGCTGGCTTGGATTGGAGCAAAGCTGGCTTCCACCGGCTTACCGCTCGTGGTATACGCAGCTCCGCCCTGCTGCGTCGCGGGGTACGCAGGTCCCCGGTCAGAAGAGTGGGGAGGAAGGAGCGCGGCCGCGCGCGTCAGTCACATCCAGGAAAAACAAGTCAAGGATCCCTCTCCCGCTCCGCGGCTCCGGTCTCCACTCGTTGCCTTTGGCCGTGGCTGCCTCCAGCCCTGGACCGCTGCGTTGGCCGCGCTTGCTCCAGCCGAGAGGAGCAGAAAGCTAGAGACGAATCTCTCTACTAGGACACCTCTTTCTCCGGCGCTGCTGCTACGTGGAGTGGAGAGACCGGGGCCGGGTGGGTGCCCAGCCCGGGCGGCAGTAGTAACCGTAGCGAGCAGCTGACACACGCAAGCCAGGCACAGCCAGCGGACGCGTCCACTGTGCTGCGAGCAGCACACAGGCACAGCAAGGCAGTCACCCGTCGTGGCCGGCCTTGCGTGGTGTGCAGTAGTAGACAGTAGGGGAGAGGAGACGGCACGGTGGTGGGTGGGTGGTACTTGGTATTGGTAACTGAGCGCGTGTTTAGTTGCTATCCCAAATCTTATGGTCCATCACATCAAATTTTATAATACATGTATGGAGCATTAAATATAGATAAAAAAAAATTAATTACATAGTTTAGTTGAAAATTGCGAGACGAACGTTTTGAGCCTAATTAGTCTATAATTGAAACACTATTTACTAAATAAAAACGAACGTACTACATCAGCCCAAATTCCCAAATTCAAGTAACTAAACACGCGCTGAAACTGTTGCGGTGAGCCGTTGCTCTCCTCGGGCAGTCAAAATACAGCAGCCCAAGGGGGCAGTCAAGCTTGGCCGTTTGGGCATTGGGAGAGGAGAGGAGGCTCCTCCCTTCTTTATTCACATCAGTTTATTTATCCTCTCGAGAAAGAGACGAACAGAAAAGAGAGCAACCCCCATCCCTTCCTGTGATTTTGCACAAATCTCCCGCGAATTCGACACCAAGCTCTATTTGGCAAACGCCTCGGATCCGAATTCCCGTGTTATTACTTACGTACAAAATTAATAGTCGTAATAACATGGTAGGGATCCGTAATGTATAGTGTACCGTCCGTCGTGTGCACGAGGGAATCCGAACAGTGGCCGGAGCAGTAGCAATGGCCGGTCCTGCTACTGCCACCGATTGAATCGAATTGATTAGCGACGACGACGACGACGACGAAGCCGGCGAGTGATTGGCACCCCGTAACCACCCCGCGTAATGCCGCTCCGGCCGGTCGATTATACGTAGTAATCACTCGGTACTGCAATTCGACGCGGGACAGTCGTGCCGTCGTGGAGTACTCCACCTGCCGCGTGCCGCCGTGGCGTGCTGGAGCCCGCCCTGCCGTGTTTTTTTCCTCTTCTTGTTCTTCTTCTCCAACCAACCACCAACTTGCTGCAATGCAACCATGGTGGAGCCATGTGGTCGAGGGACGATAAGGCCCTCCGCAGTGTATCGCTTGAGTGGTGCTTTCAAGTGGAGAGAGTTTTTAAGCACCACTTCTCACACTGCGGGGAGTGATGCCGACGCCAGGAAATTAGGGAGCGGAGCAAGCACGTGCGTCGGTGCCCAAACCGTAGAAATGAGTATTTTATTCCTCACGTAGCCAGGTGGCAGCAGTACATTGTAGGTGTACGTCCATTGCTTGCCTAGTGAAGCAATTCATTTGAATATATTCCTACGTGTTTTTCTAATAGTGCCGGCCAACACATTCACTCTCAATCCATAATTCCGTATCATTTTTAGAGGGTCTATCTACAGAACATTGAGTGTTTTGAGGCCCGAGAACACTCAATTTTTGTTCTTACGTCTTTTTGCTCCTCCCAGCGCTCTATCGCCGTCAACCGCCCCGCTGTGGCCGCGGAGCTCCGACGAGACCGTACCGTGTCCGCGGTGGCCTCCTTCTCCCATCTCTTCCCTCTGTCGTCATGGCTATGGGTGCCCCTGCTTGACTTGGCCCGACCACCTTCAACCCCACAAAAACCCTAACCATCGTCCCCACCGTTTGGGCGGCCTACCTCTCCCGAGCATTTTTTAAGCTCGCTGGGGTTGGGGAAGAGGGAGAGAGGCTGGAGATGGAGAAGAATGAGAGGGGGAGGAATATGAACACTTAATGTTAGCCTGGCTACCATCCTAGCCTGGACAGTCTTAGTTTGCTCCCACCAAGCCAATCCCTGATTGTTTGGTTGTTTGTATTATGTTAGTTTGGCTAGCCCCATGGTGCGTTTGTGTGACAGAACCGCCCGAAATAACACGCTTTCGGATGCGCTCGTCTTCCACTAGATACTAAGCACCCCGAAAGTTAGCTACATCGGACAGTTTCGTCGAGCCCACCCCAATGGATAACTCGAAATAATCCACGTTTTACCGTCAAGATCCAATAATGAGTACGAGCTTACAACACTCAGTACATTTCATACAACAAGAGTTCTTAGAAATTATTTATTACAGTACCAGAGTTCAGAGTACGATAATTAAACAGCGGAATGAAAATAAACATTTAGCGAAAATGATACATGGATCCGTTTGTACCCACCAGAAGAATCCTCCATACAAAAGTTACTCCTCAAGCAGCACCTGCAATAGGCATAAAATAAACCCTGAGTACACAATGTACTCGCAAGACTTACCCGACTAGTGGGAATAGTTTTCTGACTCTCAAGGATATGATAAGTAATGTGGGTTTATTGTTTTCTTTTTTTTGCGAAAAGCATTGCTAGAAGTACGTCCTTAAGATCAAGTTTAATTAGCAGTCATGATTACTTCATTAGCTAACCATTCCTATACCCACCAATACCTATACCATATCTCTGCCCTGTCTCTATTTTTCCTTTCATCATTTTATTATGAGAGTAATAATAATTCCCTATTGTGAGCAACGGCAGGTTACTCACGCTGCCGATAACCTAAGCATAGCATCTACTCGAACCTACACTAGTAAGACTCTTAGGACAGGTGTATCTATCCATGTGGTTTCCATAAAATTTCTATAACGTAAATGCACAACATAAATATATACGATGAATTATAAAATAGAGGTTATGCACCGGGACTTGCCTTGGGCAGGCGTGGTGTCAGCTGCATCAATCAGTGGCGGCTCCGGGACCTCCTCCTGCACAAGAATCTCCTCGTACTCCTCGATGATCTCCTCAAACTCGTGATCGCTGGTGGTCACGATCTCCACCAACTCGTTCTCTACATGCATGCGATGATGATACAACACTTAGTATTTAGGCAACAACAACTCTTAAAATAAGAATACGCATATCAAGCTACTAAGCTAGCTCTAATGACTAATATACTAAGCGAACTATCATTTTCATCAAACAAGGTGTTGGGTTCAACTAACTACATTTAGCTTAGCAAACCAAGGATATATCTTTATTTCTACTAATAATTTAATGTATATTGAAACAAAGAACATTTAACTATCCTAATGCTTAGTCTATTCTAAAGTTACAAAAATTACAGTGAGCACATAATAATACAATGACGCTACCATAAAAATTCCAAGACTAAAGCTATCACCAATTTACTATAAAAATTTCTACAATAATTAGCTTAATATTATTAAGCATCCTCGAATGATTTAATAGCTCCTAATGTCAACACATATAAGTATGAACTAAATACACTAATAGATAGACCATAATTTTAGGAACCTAACAAAATTTGTTTCGTAATTTTTGGACACCTACACGAATTTATATTAATTATCAAAGACCAGCTCAAAAATTAAATTAGAAAACATTCACAAATTCCTAAAAAAAAGAAAAACCAATCTCCCACGTGGCC